AAGCACACTAAAGCAGTGGTCCCCAACCATTTTGGCAACAGGGACCAATGCTCCTATGAGAATCTAATGCCTGATGATCTGAGCTGGAACAGAGGCAGTGATGCTAGTGCAGGGGAGTGGCTGCAAATACTGATGAAACTTGGCTCGCTCACCTGCTGCTCACCTCCTGCTCTGCAGCCCAGTTCCAAACAGGCCATGGACCAGAGGATGGAGATCCCTACTAAAGGATGAGAACCACTACCACTGAGAGCAAGTTTTTTTCAAAGCCCCTACTTTCAGTCTCACCAAAAGTTATGCTGGATCTATGGAGTCACTGGCAGACCCAAGACACTCAGAGAAACAGAAGGGAACAGAGAGGTTACAGAGAATCAATGTCCCAAGATGGAAAGGCAAAAGTAAAGATGCACATGGGTAAGAGGTCTACTAGCTGACTCTGTGCTAGTCAATGGTACCAGTATTTACCACATCACCTCATTCACATCTGGTGATATAAACCCTATGGGCAGAAGGGTTTGTTGGTTTTCTGTAGGGCAGCTGTAAAACATTTAGGATTGTGAAAGCCAACATAATATTAAATGAAGAGAAAGTATATGTGATAGAGGGTAGCAACAGCAGAAGAGGAAAGCTCATTTGTGTCAAGTCCCTCAACTCATCTGCCAATGAAACTCAAAGGGACCTACAATGAGAAAATAAGGGTTCCAAGGAAAAAGTGTGAGAAATTAAGGGAACTGGGTTAACCCATCAGGTCCTTAGCAGAAAATTTGGTATTCCTCGGATAAAAGGTCTTAACAGGCCAAAAAAATAAACACATCAATTATAGAAAAACAGAACTGCAAAATAAAAGGTCGAGATGAGTGATTTTCAAAAATTGTAGCTGCAGAATCTTAACTCGAGCAATCATTTTAGGAATTCCAATTTATAAAACATAAAAACAGTCACTCTGGTTGAAGCCAGTCAGGGTGGAACACCTTACCTTCCGTGCTTTCCTGCTTCCCCCAATCCAAACACTTGACTGAGGAATCCAGTTCAAACCTTGATGTAGAATAATCCCTCCAGTTACAAATAAGGAAAAGCCCAAAGACCGTGAATTTCCCCAAAATACACCACGAAAACATTTGAAGTAGCAATTACAGGTTAAGGTTCAATGGGTGACCCGCTAACATTTGTCCTTAACAGAGAGTTTTATGCTTTTACATCACATACACTTTGCTTCAGTGAGGAAGTGAATTTGACAAATGAAGACTCCTTAAAGATCTTTTATACTTTAATCTTATGTGAGTCAAGAAAATGTATTTGACTTCATTATCAAAGCATTTCTGGAAAAATGGAGACACTTATTTCATAAATCACCTCTTAAAATCTTGCTAGCAAGGATTTGAAATTTCTTAATAATATTCATCTTTGAATTATAATACCATTTACTTTCTAGGTGCTTTTTTAAAACGTGGTTCCAA